CGGAACTATTAATCTGCCAAAAAAAGATATAATGGTAGTCTAATAAAGATGTCTGCGTCTTCGCGGCGCTTCGTACTTAATTCTTTGGCTCATAAAAAACGCACGTACGTAAAAAAGTGCCAATCCGTGGCTGATTGGCAGTCCAAAAGAATACGGTGTTTCTTTTATCACCTTTACACAAAGAATAGGACAAACACCGTACATGGACACATACACATTTTTGTTTTTTAGGGTTCCGTACCCCAAGGTACTAGAATACCGTGGTACGAGGTACAAGGTACGAGACCTTATTACTAAGACTCCGCTATCTGTCCGTCTGTCCGTTTGACAACAAGCTGTATTTCATGAACCGAGTAAGACAGTTGAAATTTTCACAGATGATGTATATCTGTTGCCGCTATAGCAACAAATACAAAAAAATATTTTAGTGGGACAACAGACAACAAACATGATTTTTATAGACAATGGTACGGAACTCTTTGTGCGCGAGCCCGACTCGTACTTGCCCGGTTTTTTATGACGTAGAGCCTGACTGGATTACCACCAATTTTTCAATAAACACGGTATATAATGTGTATACTCATTACTGAATGGAAACTGTTTTTATGGACTTATCCCGTTTATTTTTAATTTGAATTATAGAAGTTTCGAATGCTGTGCAGCATGCATGGTCACCAGATAGACTGGTCTGTCCCGAAAGTGGTTTCATTCTCTGTAGTCTCAAATCATATGTAGCAACGCATCTTCAGCCCTACGGGTGTTGCAAATGTTGTTTGGGCGACGGTTGTCACTTAACATCAGGTGACCCGCCAGCTCGTTTCCCCCTTGTAATATTAAAAAAAAAAATGTTTATGTCTCCACGCCCGCGCTCCGACTCCATTTTGAGACACGTGTTGTGCATTCAGAAGTGCATTTACGAATAAACCGTCGAAAAGTTTGGTGATTCGTACAAACGAGCGCACTCGGTGCGCTCCGCACCGTTCTCCACGCTATCGAATATAGCTTCACCTCAAAGGGTACAATAGTAACTCCATATATTTCAAAATTATTTTCCTTACACCATGAAAATCGTAAGAAAAAATTCTTGCAATAGTACAAAGCATTAAGTTCTACGACGCCTAATTAATGAAATATCCAATTGTATCATACATCATAATCAAAAATGCATTCAAGGTTTCCCTCACGCATTTTTGCCTCCGGTAAAATTTGTGTTTTGTGACATAATGCTCTTTACCATATATGAGGTACAGCGGAGCGAATAAGAAGAGAGAAAATTCGTGCTGCGAGGCGCACCAAGTTCGATAGTCTCTTACTACTTTTTGATTACTACGACCACTAAAATCCGGAGAGGAAGAACCTATTTATATCCTTCATGTGTGATGAGTGTGATGGGCCCAACTATTTAAAGGTCGGAAAAACAATAGAGCGAGTAACGTAAGTGATTGTAGATGGCAGTTGTGTCTGGTTGTGTGTACAGCAAAAAATATATTATGAATATTTTTTACGTCGGCAACATTTAATGAACGACTAATGGTAATACTTGGTCACTTCCATTACAGCCACAAGTGGTACATATTTAGAAGGTGTATTTTGACCAATTTATTATAATTATTATCAAAGATATTCGCACGGTCTTGTGCGTTTAATGTGCGTTAATTAGACTAATAGACCATTTAAATGATTATGTACTCGTTAAGAGGTTAAAGAATTGGGTTGATTATACGCCTAATTGGATTTACCTAATGACAGATATACGCTATGTATCAATTTAAATTGCTATGAAACAGATAAGAAAACGAAGTATCTGGACCTGGCTCACCAGGTGACCGACATGTGGGGTTGTGTGCCGACCGAAATTATCCCGATAGTCGGGTCTGCGAATGGATTGATCCCAGTCAGCCTCTCCGGACATCTGAGGCGACTGGGTCTCCGGGACGGAACGCTCCGAGCTCAAATGCAGTAGGCGGTGCTCCTCGATACCGCCCGCATCATCCGCGCTTTCTCTCCCTTTCTCCCCAACCTTCGGCTGTTTGGTCATTTATGTATGTATTGTACACAATATTTATATGTATATGTTTATTTTTATTTATAAACCCAACCAGACGAGAAAACAACTAAATATCTCCTAAATTGTAATAATAATGTATAGGCTGATACTTTACTTTATTGTAATTATCATCTTTTCACCAATCACCTCAAATACATCGGTTCTGTCGCAAGGTATTATATATGTAATTGCTTACTTAACTCATATTCTGCATAATTGTTAGCTACTTAAATCTAGTTGCAAGACGCCAAGTGAATGATAATTTTAATGGCGGAATATCAGGCAGTTCTAATGGGCGCAGGTCGTCAGTTCAAGTTCGAATGCATTTATTTATAGCCCGTCAAGTAAACTTTTATTACACTTGACGTGAAGTACTTAGTTGTAGTAAAATATGCGATATTAATCTTATAAATATCATATTTTAGTTAGGTTGTTACTGAACATTTATTACAATAATAGATTGTTCTCAAAGACAGTTTGACACTTTGCTGTTGTAAAACTTTATCTTCTTTTTTTATACTACTCTATGTATACGTGAATCTAATATAATCTACTATAACAGTGGTACGGCCACGTAACAATCTTCGCTGTTGCATGAATAGGCAGATCGGTTCGGGAAAGTACTTGTATAATTAATAGAAGTAATTGTATTATATATAAAAAAAGAGAGTACCCTCTAAAGAATACACTCTCTTGAAAAAACAGCTGTAAATATTATATTCAAAATGTCCTTTCGCTGGCCGCTTCAGTAGCCCCTTCCCGGGGAGCAACTGCAGGTAAGGTGCGCTGAAATATTCAGCGTGCTTTCCTACTCGGCCCCATCTTCACGGCCAACGAAGTCCCCCGAGTTCGATAAGCAGCAAGCCTCGTAGCCCTCAGCGGCGGACCTGATCTGTGGCTCCGCCGCTAGGGGAGAACGGCGCATCGCAATACCGATACTCCTCTCCTCCCGCGGGCACACCACCACTGCAACAGCGGTGCAGCCCCGCCGAGTCGCGGAGGATAGGGAGAGCGGCCAAACGCAATACCGGCACTCCTCTTCCCCCGCGACTCCTCCTCGGTAGCAGAAGACAGGGAGAGTGGCTCCATCTATACCACCCTCGACCTGTCCCCCACACTCTCCAGCGCGCATCCAGAGTGGACTCAATAAGCCCACTCGGAGCGGCTCTCTCGGGCCGGCTTTAAACCACAGGCCGGCCCAAGGTTCCTCTTAGCTTCGCCGTGGGTGACCAAGCCACGGCTACTAAGCCCCTCCGCCATGTCAAGGCGGGAACCCGGTCGGAGTGGCGAATACACGAGGCCTGGCGCCGATGCCAATAGCTTAGCAACTGTGCCTCTATTCATCTATACATATAAATAAAATTGGAGTGTCTGCATGTGTTTTCTTGTGAATATCCCAATTATCATGCGCATCTTCAAAATTATCAGTAAATACTAGACTAATAAAATATTAGTAAATATTTCTAAAGAAAGATTACCTAATACAAGTATTCTTTCTAGCCGCAGCTTTGAGTAACATTTACTTCTTTATTATACATAATTAAAGAATAAACACGAATCTGTAATGCGTTTCAAAGGTTGAACACAAATAATAGACATTTTTTAACTAACAATGGAACGCCTTGGTTTTGGAAAAATCTTATAACATTTATTTAATAAGCAAATTTTAATATCATTACATAATTTAATAATTATGTAACGTTGTGGATAATTCTGTATTCGTCTAAATATTAGCTGATTTTTAAAGTGTAAATTATTAAAATCCGTTGAAAATTACAATGCTTTCTTAATATATTTATACATATATATCTGTAAAGTACTTAAATACAATAGTAGTGATGTATTGTATTTTCAATTGTGTAATATTCTGTAGTTTGAATGCGGAGGTTTGGGTAAACTGACACTATTTTAAAATGTAATTGTTATGTAGTACTTACCAAAAAAGTAATGAAAATCGCGAACCGAGAGTGATATGATTATTTGACGTAAAAACAGTCACTGGTAGATCTCTCTTTTTTATTTAAGAACTTAGAAGTGGTTAACCTAATGTTAAGTAATAATCGCGCCCTTGACATTTGCAACACCAGTGGGACTGCAAATGCATTGCTAGATTTTAATAAAATGGACCTCCGTCACCATACGAAACGCAGAAATATAACACTTCCACTTCACGCCGGTCTTCTGTAAGATTTGGTACTTCTTCGACTGGGCTTGCCCATTGGTGAAACAGCAAAGACTGTTGCGTGGCCCATCCACAGTTAGAGTTCTGGATAATATTACTGTAGAAGACCACGGACGCATAGAAGACCGGCTTACGGCAGAAGCAGCAGAACAGTCTTTCCACTGTCAATTGAAACTACGGTACCGGCTTTTGGATTTTTACCGACTCATTTAGGAAACATCAGAAAGTGTATCAAAAAATACAACCTAACTGAGAACTTTCATCTTTTTTGAAATTGGATGAAAAATGTGCTAGTTCATAAGCAATATCTATACAATTTGTGAACGATGATCGTTCCGCAGTCAAAGAACTAAGGGCAAACGACAAAGTAAACGATTCCGAATAACCCCAAGAGCCGTGCCGGCTTCGCAACCGTCAACGTTTTCCCGCCATTGTCACTGACATTTGACCGGCGCATGCGCAATGCGTGTCGCGACCTGTTACGTACCCACCTAACTACCTCACTTTGCATACAATGTGGAAAAATAACCCCGCGATAATAAGACGAAGGAGTCGACGAACAAAAAAAATAACGTGTACTCAATTTCAATTAAGACCGCTAAGTAATTATTGTTAAGATCGTAAAGATGTTATTAATACATTAAGCTCGTAATTTATTGTGCACTGTTTTATAGAAAAAAATATGCAAATGTGCGTTCCAAGTTGTGTAACGATTTTTTTTATTAATAGTCAATATAAAAGTCAAAGATTGAAAAGAAAAAGTACACGCGAATGACGGTGAGCGGTGTCCGCCATTTGCATTGTTTACAAAATGGCCGACATCTGATTGGTTGCTTCATGCTCCGTTAATATAACTATTGGGGACTTCTCATTCGCTGAGCGTTCCTAATCCAATTGAAACACTTGTGCACGCGGAACGATATTATTACAACAATGATTTATGACGAGTGTCGAGCAACGCACACGCAGTATCGCTTGCTCTGGCTTCGAAATACATTCGTCGCCAGGGCACGCGATACCTACTCGGCTTTTAACAAAACTAAGTTAAGATAATAAGAGGTTGTTTTTGTTATTAATGAAAATATCGTAGTAATATAAAGAAGTTGTCGATATTCTTAGATTCAGTTTCAATTTAGTTCGTGGTAAGGTTAGCGAAGGTCAGTGTGTACTATTTACCACTCTTGAAAGTTGGTAATTTAGAATTTCCTCTGGCATAAAAAATCGAGGCAATCAAATTAAAAAAGACCAGAAGCTAAGTTCGATGTTTCAGTGGCGCAGTTACTAAGCTATTGCTTCGGTGTCGGGGTCGTGGGTTCGATTCCCACACGGTACAAGTTTTTGTGTGAACCATAGATAATTGTTCCGGATCTAGATGTTTGCTGCCAAGGTGAATAGCCACTAACAACATGATTCACCAGTTGCGCCGATCCCCTAAATGTGATACAGGCAGGAAAAGACGAAGGCTAGAACACTGTAAAGGGTTCGAAAGGGGAATTAAAATTAAAAATTAACGCCATAAATCCGTAAAATTAGTTTCATTTATAAAGTATTATGAAGTTATAGTTACGTAATATTCGGTCCTTATGACTTACATGTTTTTGATGACTGCCTCACATGCATGACTCGACTTAACATGTATTTTTCCATTTACAGGTGATTGGGCAACGTGAATACGCTGTCAGGCCTACGAGAAGACCCTCCGAGGAGCTTCAGACAGGGCAGCCCTTGGATATAGTCGTCCAACAGGTGAGTTACCATCGACACCTGCAATAAAACAACGAGACTTCCATTTCAAAGACAGGCTGGAGACTTTTCAACCGACCTCAAATAGGTTTATGTTTGTTGCTTCAGAACTTTCGATTGCGTGAACCGATTTTTATGACTCTTTTTTAATCGAAAGCTGGTGCTTCCCATGTGGTCCCATAATAATTCATTGGGCATCTTGGGCTTCGGAGTTCCCTAAGTAACTTCTGAAAATCTATTATAAAATGATAAAAAATCTATTATATACAAAGCGAGACATTTGAAGTAGGTTTTGTTTTTCGTTAGTAAAAATATAGACGTGTTTATTCATAGACTAATATATGATACATAGCGAACATACACAACAAAGTTTGCGGCGCTAGCCTTATGTAGCAGAAATCATTACCACAACCCGAATTACAATTGGCGCAGAGGAAATACAAGGAGTACGTACACGTTTTAACGTTGCACGAATGGGACTCCTCCAGGGTAGTATCGCGGCCTCACTGAGTGCAAGCGTTTCGTCGTTCAAGTGAGCTAACGGAGCCCACTGTTGTTAAAGGCAACAGACCAATAACATCTCATGTGTTGAAAGTGTCCATGGGCAGCGGTAATCACTTAACATAACTAAATACTCAAGTGTAATACTTTCATTTAAAACGACTTTCTTGAAGTGGAAGTATTATACTTCCGTGCTCTTCGTGCAATAGAAGTCGATGCAAATGTATAAATAAACGCCCGAAGTATATTTTTTTTTGTGAAAGTTGTTAAGCGAACAGGCGGTTCACCTGATGTTAAGTGAATACCGCCGCCCATGGACATCTGCTACACCCGTGCGTTTGCGTTGACAACCTTTTTGAAAATAGGGCTCCGGTTACCTCACTCACCAGACGAAACGCGAAAGTACTGTACTTCCACCTCACGCCGGCCTTCTGTAAGGTCGTGGTACTTACCTGGACGAGCCTGCCCATTCGTGCAACAGCCGGGGCTGCTGCGTGGCCCTACCACACTAAAAAGCAATGGACAAAGGCAGGAAACATACTTCTGAGTGTTTTTGTAAATCTTATACCACATTACCTTATACATTTCAACACATCAACTCGAGGACTGTGACGTCAACAAGCTATTTTGCGTTCGAAAGCGCAATAATACGTGGCTATACCGTCATTACGCGAATAACAACATATCATTCTGCGCCGTCACGTCAGCCGTGACCTCTGCCCGTCAAGTTGGGCCTTACGTAGCGAGTAGAGTCCATAGTTACTGTTTATGTAATGTTTTATGTATTAACTAACCAGTCAGTAGCGTAAATTCCACTTACTACTAATATGAGGACTAAAATTCGACATCATATCGTTAGGGTAAATTTTTAGGTGTTTCGGTGTTCTGTCTCTATTTATTTACCTATCAGTCAGGGTGTCAGGGTGTTCAATAAAAATCTGTATTAATTATATTTTCAAACACAGAAGTGCGTTTAGGAAGGAATAAATAGTTCCGAAAGAAACAGAAAAAAAAATGTTCCAGCATTTATGATCCCTTCGAGATCAGTAAATCATGGTGATAAATATTATTTTATAAGTAAATTTGTTAAGGATAGGAAACGTTGTAAGAATAAATATGATTAAAATGTTAGTTAAAAGTTTCCCTGAAAACAGGGATAGAAGGTCATTTTCTAAAAATGAAACCTAGATTGAGTTTTCGCCCCCGAATCTACGCATATACAAAATTTCATGAAAATCGCTGGAGCCGTTTTGGAGATTCCGATTATATATATATACATATATACATATATATATATATATATATATATATATATATACAAGAATTGCTCGTTTAAAGGTATACCTTAGGATAGGATAACGGCTTAATACGAGCCAATCCGTTAGAAACTTTAAATATTGCCACCAGCTATCTTAAATCTTATCGGCGCAGCTAGTAAATAATAAGAATAATTACACCTTTTTTTTAAAACTTCAATGTGGGCTAAGACGAAAGGGAAGAAAGAAAAGTCCGTGGATCATATTAAGTCTTCTCCCGTTTGGGGATTGACCCAATGGATGAACCAACTATCCCCAGCGCTGTGGCTTGGTGTTAAATTGTCAGGTGAGTAATCACCGGTCCATTTACCTAAATAAGCAGCGTCCACTCCGTGAACTATAAAGGGCGCTACTTTAATACGACTCGGTGGAAACGCGGGTCGTGGGTTCAAGTTTGAGTGTGCCTGGCCTCGTCGGGTAAATACAATGCACGGCAATGTTAAGTAAGGCCGAAGCTTTTAAGAGACTCGTTTATTCATATTTCATTGCAACGTAAGTAGCTAGCTACTTTTTAAATTAATTGCAGTTACACTGCGGTGCGCAGTAGGTACCTGTTGTTACGTAGTACCACATTGAGCGATTCAAGTGGGGTTTTTGTTAGCATTTAACATATTTTTTAAAGTTACACTTCTTATAGCCTATTAAAGAGAAAATGGTGATAGTGAATTTTTACCATGAAATTATGTGATACCGTGAAGCTAGTCGATAAATCTCCCGTTAGTAATGTGTCAAGTTTTAAGTTTATGTCACCTTCAACTTCATGGTTCCATATATTTAATATATATAAAATAAACGTTTTTTGTTTCTCTTGCGTCCATAGTACAGAAAGCTAACAAAGACATTTCGATGCAGAAGATTGAGGTAAAAAATTACGTATTTGTCGTCCAAAAAACATTATCGCATCTAAGAAACAGGAAGTTTTAAATCGCTAAGAAAAACATCAAGATTTATAAGATTCAGTGTACTCACTTCCAGATGTAATATATTCTTTAAATTTTTCCTAAGTCATATAGCATTAACTAATGATTGGAAACTACATCGTGGTAAATTTTCAACAATGAACTTTATCGAACGTATTTTCAATTTTTTTGTACGCTCCAATTAACATTTTTATTTATTTTACAAATTAGCAAGCCATTCTCTTTATGGTATTGCATTCGCAACACCAGAGGAATACAATTACGTGGCAGGCCCATAAATTAGTGATATCTTCCCGTAGGTAGAAGTTCTTTGAAGTCTGTAAGTCGTATAATAATCAAAAATTGCAAAAAGTATTCGTACGTAGCAGGGTAATCTACCTTCATAAAGCAAGTATGATGGTGCGTGTTATATCATAATACTAGCGAACCGCCTCGGCTTCGCACGGGTCAAAATGAAATATTATACATAAACCTTCCTCGTGAGTCACTCTACTATGCTAAAAAAATCCGCATCAAGATCCGTTGCGTAGTTTTAAAGATATAAGCATACATAGGGACAGACAGCGGGACGACTTTATTTTATACTACGTAGTGATTATGGAGCTTTTATGTTTTGTAGGCGGTGAAACTCGGCAGCGGTTTTTAATGAGAGTTATTCGGGGTAAGATTTCTTTGAACTGTCACTGTAAGACCTCGCTACGATTCGAGCGAAATTGGGCTCGGTCGAAATGCAGATATCTCGGGCGCTTGGACCACTTTTTTCACTGGTTTGGCCCTTATTATCGTCGGATCGCTACAGGTTTCGGCTAACTGTATATGGCGCGGCAAAAGGCAGGCGGGGACTCGGAATCGCTCTGTGGTTCCGTAGTCGAATTGAGCTTAACAGCTCACGCTCAAGTCCGTTCGAGCTAACGCTCAAGACGGACAACCGCTCGCTGTGTATTCAGTAGAAGGTAATCAGTGCGAGCGAAAGTTTACTCAAAATGTTCTCGTACATCGTCGTTCCCTTTTTTATGATAGCTCGTTGACCGGGCACTCGCCTTTAATTCGATGATAATCGAGGGACCCGAGTTCAAAATGCCAGCATGGATTTGACAATTTTCAGTGCTGACTTATCACGTGCTCTGCGGTGTAGGAAAACATCGTGAGGCAACCTGCATATTTCCGAAATAATAAAAATAATCTTTTGAATGTATGCCAATGTTTGGTATGTGAAGTCCAAAAATTCTCAGTGAGGTGGCGTGGTGGACCATACCCTCTGTTAAGAAGAGCCCTTTGTCCAGCAATCGGTTTCAAAAAGGATTTACCGATTGAGAAATTTAGAAGAAGGTTTACCGATTTGAAAAGATGTTTGTTATAATTTCATATTATTACATATATAGCGTGTCTTTACAATCGCGACAATGAATGAACACACATCATATAAAGGATAACTTTTAAAATTGTATTAAACATTGTTATTCTTTAAACATCAATATTTACCTGAATTTTCTAAAACAAAGAATTTTAGAACACCCTTACGTATAAAACTGTAACGTAAAGTTCATTTGTAAAGGTCACAAAGCATATGAATGGGTTGAATGAATTTAAAAGAGACAACAGACTTCTAACATACTGTTAGAAGGAGAGGCTTGTAATGCGGCGCTGTGGCAACGAATGAAAAAGTCTCTGAATGTATGAATCAGTCAGTTGTAGTTGTATAGGTGTTACAAATTTTGTTTCTTTTTTACTTAATTAGTTTGTTAGAAAAATATTTTTTTTAATTATGGATTTTTTAACGTTAATATTTTTTATGATTATTGGCAAGTACCGTTAGACGTGTGTTCATTTATTGTCGCGGTGGTAACGACACGCTGTATATTATAAAATCCACCTTAAAGTTTGTTTGTTATGTGCCAATATAAATATTTGTAGAGTTTGTTGGGTGTATATTGTATACAATTATTTTAATTTATAACGCAAGATTATAATTATGCAATATTTAAAAAAAAACATTTTACAGATGTTGACATTGATCACGATCTCCTAACACTATTTCGCCGTGATGTAAGTGTACAGGGCAGTGTAAATCGCGAGAAACGCAAACAAAACTCGACAGTCCTAATGATGATTATTTGTCATTACTAATGAATTACAACTAATGAATGTCAAACGACGGGGCAAAGGCGCCAGCAACTAATGGCCATCCGTCATATGAATAAAATTTGCCTCTGCTTTATCTTGGAGCTGCGATTTGCAAGAAATTAATTATACGGTTCTTTGCGGG